TTACCCCCCCCCAGCCCCTCCCAGTATAACCCAGTATAACCCAGTCCCCCTTTAACCCTTTCCCAGCCCCCCCCAGTATAACCCAGTATACCCCAGTGGCTCACACTGCACGTCCAGCTGGTATTGGGTGAGGCGGCGCTGGCCCCGCCCCAGGGCGGGGTTTGTGGCCTCGCAGGTGACGATGGCGCCGTGGTCGCGGCGCTCGGGGCGGAGCCGCAGCACCGAGCGCTGCCAGAACACCTTGCCGTCCTGCCGGAGGCTGCTGCGGCCTGGGGGGGGCAGGTGTGCCCAGGTGTGCCCCCAGGTGTGCACAGGTAACCCCAGGTGTGCACAGGTAACCCCCCAGGTACCCCCAGGTGTGCACAGATAACCCTAGGTGTGCCCAGGTAACCCCAGGTGTGCCCCCAGGTGTGCACAGGTAACCCCAGGTGTGCCCAGGTGTGCCCAGGTGTGTCTGACCCTGCTCAGGTGTGTCCCAGGTGTCTCTAACCCCATCCAGGTGTGCCCAGGTGTCTCTAACCCCACCCAGGTGTGTTATACCCATCCCCAACCCATCCCCAGGTGTGCCCAGGTGTGTCCCCAGGTGTGTCACACCTGTCCCCAGGTGCCCCCAGGTGTGCCCAGGTGTGTTCCTAGGTGTGTCACACCTGTCCCCAGGTGCCCACAGGTTCCCCTAGGTGTGTCACACCCATCCCCAGGTGTGCCCAGGTGTGACCAGGTGTGACCAGGTAATCCCAGGTGTGCCCAGGTAACCCCCCAGGTACCCCCAGGTGTGCCCCCAGGTGTGCTCAGCCGCAGCACCGAGCGCTGCCAGAACACCTTGCCGTCCTGCCGGCGGCTGCTGTGGCCTGCAGGTGTGCCCAGGTGTGACCAGGTAACCCCAGGTGTGCCCAGGTAACCCCACAGGTGTGCCCAGGTGTGTTATATCTGTCCCCAGGTGTGTCACACCTGTCCCCAGATGTCCCCAGGTGTGTCACACCCATCCCCAGGTGTGCCCAGGTGTGTCCCCAGGTGTGTCACACCCATCCCCAGGTGTGCCCAGGTGTGTCCCCAGGTGTGTCACACCTGTCCCCAGGTGCCCACAGGTGCCCCAAGTGTCCCCAGGTGTGTCCCCAGGTGTGTCCCTAGGTGTGTCACACCTGTCCCCAGGTGTGCCCCCAGATGCCCCCAAGTGTCCCCAGGTGTGTTACACCCATCCCCAGGTGTGCTGTATCTGTCCCCAGGTGCCCCCAGGTGCCCCCAGCTGTCCCCAGGTGTGTTGTACCTGTCCCCAGGTGTGTCCCCAGGTGTCCCCAGGTGTGTCACACCTGTCCCCAGGTGTGCCCCCAGCTGTCCCCACACCTGTGCCCAGTGCCCGCTCACCTGGCAGCTCGCGGCGGTCGCGGAACCAGCGCAGCGTGGCCGGGGGTCGGGCGCGGGGCACGAGGCAGGTGAGCTCCAGCTCCTCCCCCTCCACCGCCAGCGCCCCCGCCTCCACCAACGGGGGCTCGGGGGGCACTGCACAGGTGGGACAGGTGAGATCGGACAGGTCAGACATGGACAGGTGAGAGACAGGTGGGACAGGTGGGACAGGTGAGAGATGGACAGGTGAGAGACAGGTGAGACATGGACAGGTGGGACAGGGGGCACAGGTGGGACAGGTGAGATCGGACAGGTGAGACAGGTGGGACAGGTGAGAGACAGGTGAGAGACAGGTGAGGGACAGGTGAGAGACAGGTGGGACAGGTGAGAGATGGACAGGTAAGAGATGGACAGGTGAGAGATGGACAGGTGAGAAACAGGTGAGATGGACAGGTGAGATCGGAGAGGTGAGACAGGTGAGAGGTGGGACAGGTGAGAGAGAGGTGAGAGGTGAGACAGGTGGGACAGGTGGGACAGGTGAGATCGGACAAGTGAGACATGGACAGGTGAGGGACAGGTGGGATCAGACAGGTGAGACATGGACAGGTGGGATAGGGGGCACAGGTGGGACAGGTGAGATCGGACAGGTGAGAGAGGTGAGATATGGACAGGTGGGATAGGTGAGAGACAGGTGAGACAGGTGAGATTGGACAGGTGAGATCGGAGAAGTGAGAGAAGTGAGAGACAGGTGGGACAGGTGAGACACAGACAGGTGAGAGATGGACAGGTGAGAGAGGTGAGCCATGGACAGGTGGGACAGGTGAGGTCACACAAGTGAGACATGGACAGGTGAGGTACAGACAGGTGGGACAGGTGAGGGACAGCAAGGACAGGTGAGACAATTGAGACAGGTGAGGTGGGACAGGGACAGGTGGGACAGGTGAGAGATGGACAGGTGAGAGATGGACAGGTGAGGTGAGACACGTGAGACAGGTGAGACAGGGGACAGGTGAGTGACAGGTGAGGTGACACAGGTGTGACACAGGTGTGACACAGAAGAACGACAGAGACAAGAACAGACAGGTGAGGGCCGAGGGGACAAAGGGACAGGTGGCAGCAGGTGTGGCACCTGTCCCCAGGTGTGCCCAGGTGTGCCCAGGTGTCCCCAAACCCCCCAAAATCCCCATTTTTCACCCGATTTTCACCCAGTTTTTTTCCTTTGTCCCCTCCCCCCTGTCTCCAGGTGTCCCCCCCAGGTGTGCCCAGGTGCCCCAGGTGTGCCCAGGTGCCCCAGGTGCGCCCAGGTGTGCCCAGCTGCCCCCAAACCCCCCAAAATCCCCATTTTTCACCCATTTTTCACCTGATTTTCACCCAGTTTTTTTCCTTTGTCCCCTCCCACCTGTCCCCAGCCGTCCCCAGCTGTCCCC